TTGGCTTCTGAGTCAAAGGGTGCATATGTTTGTCTAGTAACATGGAGTCACTGTGACAGCTACAAACGATGGTAGATATGAGTGGGCGTGCTGTTGTGACTCACCTGTGAGTCTGCAGTGATTTTCTGAAATCATGAAAAAAACATAACCTCCCTTTGTTGACTTGAGTACATGTATTTCTGCAGAGCAGCATATATGAAAACCAGAAATGTTTTGTTATGCTTGTATACAACATATAAGCAGGGATTTTTTTTTTTTTTTTGGGTCTGTCCTGGGGCTTGAACTCTGGGCCTGGGCGCTGTCCCTCAGCTCTTCAGCTCAAAGCGAGTGCTCTACCATTTGAGCCACAGCACCACTTCCGGCTTCCTGGTGGTTCATTGGAGATAAGAGTCTCACAGACTTTCCTAGCCTGGGCTGGCTTTGAACACCAATTCCAGACCTCAGCCTCCCGAGTAGCTAGGGTTACAGGCATGAGCCACTGTACCTGGCAAGCAGGGATTTTTTTTTTTTTTTTTGGCCTGCTTGCTTGCTTGCTTTTTCTTTTTTTCTTTTTGGCAGAACAGTTAGAGATTATACAGGATAGCGGACAATTAGAACTGTCCTTTCTGTTACAAGAAGTCCATATCTAAATGCCGGCACTGTTACTCTATCTGGTGAAAAATCAAAAATGCCCACACAGGAAATCTACTGATTTATTCACATCACAACTTTGGCCAATTATATGTGCTCAGCATCGCCCAGTGAGCAGAAATAGTGTTGGAGTGTGTTAATATTCTCCCCACCTCTGGTCCTCAGCTCCGTCCAGACCTGAGCTCCTCCTTGCCCTAGAGCTCCTGCTATACAGCTGGCCACTCCCTCTCTCCACCCAGACCTATCTGAGCATGCGCCTACCTCAATACCTGTCCCCAGTCCTACCTGCCACTTGGATAGGGACAGATGCCACATGCTCCCGTTCCAGGGAGATGTGGCCCCTCTAATAAACCTTAAAATATTTTTTGTCCTGTGCCTGCTTGCCTTCTCGTGGTCCCTGGGAATGATCATGAAGGATTATACAGAGTGGACCTAGCCCTTGCCCCTATGAAGTGGGGTGCAATGTGAGAAAATGCCCAGTTATGAATCACTTAATCTGATAAATAGTTGACAATAGATGCAGTACAGACCAGTTCTGAATACACAAGAACCATCCAGCTGGGCAGGGGTCACTTGGCCTGGAAAAGCCAACCAGAGTAATAGTACCTGATTGGGATACAGAGGAGAGAGCTGTATGGCACTGTAGACACTGATGAATGAACTGCTGGATGATTAGAGGTGACACCTCTGCTGGAAGGAAGCCATTCTCCACTATATAGTGAACTGCTACAAGGCAGGGAAGACAGGCTTCCTGACACCCCTCCAACAGGGAACCTGGCCCCCATTTAGGATCCGGAAGTGTTGAAAGGGTTCCAGTCTAGAGCAGTTTCTCAGAAATGTCCATCCTAGAGGGCAGCTGCTCGGGGCTTCAAGGTTAGAAAATGGAGGGTCGATGTGGCCTCTTAGGTTCCTGTTTGTTGTTACTGCATGAGTCTGCTGGCCACGCATATCTTGGTAGATAGTTACTGCTGAGCACTGTGCCAACATTTTTTAAGTCCCTGAATGGTACACTGAGGAAAAGTCCCCAAGCAAAGGGGTCTCTTCCTCTTACCAGCCTGAAGGAGGTTAGGGCTGGACTCCCTCCTTTGGAAATCCCTGTCTCTGGATGGTCATTTCACCACAAAGGTCAGCCTTGGGCAAGGATCTGGAACTTGCTGCCTCAAGGAGCCAAAGCAGGTGATATAAATCAGTGAAGGTCTGGCTGGATCTTTGGAACCGGAAAGTCAAGGTTAGCCCCATGTGATTTCTGCCTTTTCCTTGCCACATTTTTTTTTTTTATATATAGAAGTTAGAAATGAAGAATTTCTTCTTCCAATTTTTTAAATATTGGCATGGATTCAAAGCTAAAGAACAGAATGAATCTGGGAGAGGCTCATGAAACATATTTGGACTTCTGGTCCTTGGTTTCACCCTAGGAAGTTCTGAAGTCTTAGAATATTGGAGTTTTGCTTGATGAGATTGCAAGTGGAAGTCTAAGCCAACTGCTTGAAGTCTGCCAATATTACTGCCTGGCCTCCATGCTCAGGGCTGGCTCCTCTACAGCCAATAAGAAGGCTCAGTTTCTGTCCTTCTGGGACTCCCAGTGTAATGAGGCAGTGGGCCAAGTAGAGGAAACTACAGAGGTAGTGGATAATCAACAGGGGGCAAGGACAGGAGGTAAGGGATACAGGGAGCCCAGATCACGGCAGGGCCCTCTGATCTGGGACTTGAAAATTATTAGGGGTTAGCAAGAAACAGAGAACTAGAGGCAGGAGAAAATAATATTATCCAAATATCTGAAAGTCGCTCATTGTAACCAGGGGTTGGGAGAAGGGTAAGTGTCAGGAGAGCCAGGCTGTACTTGTCCACAAGTGTCACTGGGGGCTTAGACATCAGTGACTGCCTGGTGTGAGAGACCATGGAGACTGGTGGGAAATAGGTGTGGTGATACCCACCTGGAATCCCAGCTACAGAGGGAACTAGCTACTTTGAGTTCAGCCTGTACCAGGCCTAGCAAAACCCTATCTCAACAACTAAAAAGAAGCTGGGTGCTGGTGTCTTAACACCTGTAATCCTAGCTACTCAGGGGGCTGAGATCTGAGGATCAAGATTCAAAACCAGCCTGGGCAGGAAAGTCTGTGAGAGTCTTATCTCTAATTAACTACCAAAAAAACCAAACCAAACCAAACAAAACAAAACAAAAAAGCTGGAAGTAGAACTATGGCTCAAGTGGTAGAGTACTAGCCTTGAGCAAAAAAAAAAAAAAAAAAGCTCAGGGACAGCCACCAGGCCCTGAGTTCAAGCCCCAGGACTTGCACACACCAAAGAAACAAAACTAAGAGACCAGGGTGAAGGTGGAGTGTGTGTGTGTGTGGGGGGGGGGTAGTGATTGTATGGCTCAAGTGGTAAGGAATGGTGGGTTGTGGGGCACCCCCGGGGTCTGCAGCTACTCATCTGTGCGGCAGTTTCAGTTCAGAGGGCCCCCAAACTTCCTATTTTTCAAGATCACTGGGACGTTAGACTATTACCCACATCATCTTGAGACTGGCACTTAGATCACTCATTTGAACCTTAAGGTCTGCAAGGTCAAATACAATCTTGTGGGCAATCAGATGCAATTGCTGGAGGAAGCAGGAAATCCTTGTGGCCCCTTTTAGGTAAAGTAGGCTAGATTCAGCAAGCAATGGGGAGCCACTGAGAGTCACTGAGCACAGACCCATCATCCTGGCTTTACCCTGGGAAAGACCTGATGGCTGCCATCTAGCGAGCAGAAAGAAGGGCGACAGTGACCGATTTGGTGGGGGGATGTTGTGGCACTAGAGAAGGACAGGGAAGAGAGGGGGTTTGATGAGACGTAGAGGCACAGTGGGTGTGGGAAGAGGAGCTCATCAGCTAGGCCAGAGGGGACAGAGGGACAAGGAGCAGTGGGGCATGGATGTCCTGCCAGTCACTGGGGAGATGCCAAGCAGAATTGCTCCTGGAGAGGGGATGGGACTCATCCCCAGCCCTGCTTCCACCCACTCGGCAGCCTCGGCCACCAGCAGGCATTCCTTTGGTACGTGCACCTGTCACATGTGGGCACATGTGTCCCAGGACAGTTGACAAGTGCAAGGTGGGAGGCTGCCCTGAGCCTATCCCGGAGGGAACTGACCTCTCTGGAAAGCCTGTCCAACTGAAGCTAAGGGTGAGCAGGAGGTGGGCAGGGGCATCTAGCTAGAATGGATTGTTCCAACAAAGGGCAGGTGTGAGAGCCAGGGGTGAGTGGGTAAAGGGAAAGAAGCTTGAAAGACGTCTCGGAAGGAAAGACGTGAGGGAGGGAAGGAGGGAAGAGGGAGTTGCGTAGGAGGAAACAGTCAGAACCTGTCTGGGCATCTTGCTGTGGGCTCTATTGATTCAGTGCCCAGCACTAGTAATCTAGACACTGGTAGCTCCTGCCTGTAATCCCAGCTACTCAGGAGGCTGAGCTCTGAGGATTGTGGTTCCAGGCCAGCCCAGGCAGGAAAGTCTGGGAGACTCTTCATTCCAATTAACAAGCAGAAAAATGGAAGTGGCACGGTGGTTCAAAGTGGTAGAGCACTAGCTTTGAGTAAAAGAGCTCAGAGACAGTGCCCACGCCCAGAGTTCAAGCTTCACCAAAAAACAAACAAACAAAAAAACCCGAAAGCATTAGTAAATGTTCACAGCACCCCCTCTGCCTGTAGGTCCTCCTTCATGTGGAGCAACACTGTTGAATTTAAATCCTGCCCCAGCTTGGTGGGATTGGAGGTGCTGGAGCTAGAGCTCAGGGCTCCGGCATTGTAGGCAAGTGCTCCACCATGAGCTACCCTGCCTCGTGCACAATATTTCACTTCAGCTAAGATCCAGAGCTATTTTGGAAGTATTCAGTGGCACTTATATGCCCAAAGGTGGATGGAAGGTGGGACTGGAGGATTTCAGTGTCGTATTGCCTGTCTGATTTATTAAGGTCTGACCCACTTGGGGTGATGGATGATGCTGTGCAGACCCTCACCTAGGGCTGGAAGGCAGCTACCCAGTTTACAACGGTCAGGTTGGATTTGGGGCTTGAGTGATCAGACCTCATTAGGCCATCTGACTTTTAACACAGGGTAGGGAAGGTTGGAGCCCATGACCCTGCCTGTCTGGCCAGCCTGTGGCCCCTGCACCTCCATTCTACAGCCCAGATTCAATGCAGCGTGGTGTGTATAAACCTCAAGCAAGAGAGCCAAACAGACTGACTCTAAATCCCAGCTCTTATGTGTAAAGTGGGATTATGAACCCTCACAGTGCTCTGATGCATCTCAAGTGGCAGGAGGTGGATGTCTATGCATCCTCTCGGTGGCTGGCGGGGGGGGGGGGCATCCTCATCTCTCCTTACCCTCTCCATTCTGCAGGGTGTTTCGAGGAGCAGCCATGTCAGCCCTGTACCCGTCTCTTGAGGACCTGAAGGTAGACCAGGCGATCCAGGTAAAGCTGGCAGGCGGGTGAACTGTGTTGCCTGGCAGTGGCCTTGGGGTTACTGCAGGCTAACTAAGGGAGATTCCTCCTGGTGGATGGGGACCCTCAGCAGCCTCAGAGACCCCTGTCCTGCCCATCCCTGTCCTGACACTTTCTTTACAACCCTGCCTCCACACCCAAGGGCCAGCTTCCACACAATTCCAGCCCAGCAGCCTGTAGCCTTCCCTCCTCCCCACAGCCTTGTGGTTCCAGAGGACTTTGAGAATTCGGGTATTCCACTGCGGCCTTGGTTGGAGGTGGCTTTTGACACCTTGGCTGCTGTGAACAGTAAATACATGGTCTTGACCTCAGGAGACTCTCCTCTAAGAAAGAGGCACATCAAAATACACACACAGCTGAGTATAGTGGCTCACACCTGTAATCCTAGCTACTCAGGAGGCTGAGATCTGAGGATCAAGGTTCAAAGCCAGCTCAGACAGGAAAGTCAGTGAGACTCTTATCTCCCATTAACCACCAAAAAGCCAGAAGTGGAGCTGTGGCTCAAGTGGTAGAGTTTTAACCTTGAACAAAAAGCACAGGAATAGTACTCAGGCCCTGAATTCAAGCTGTAGGACTGATGTGCACATGTGCACATGCACACACACACAGTACTTTTTGTTGTTATTGTTGTTGGTCAAGGGGCTCGAACTCTGGGCCTGAGCACTGTCCCTCAGCTCTTCAGCTCAAGACTAGTGCTCTACCACTTGAGCTACAGTCCTACTTCTGGTTTTCTGGTGGTTTATTGGAGATAAGAGTTTCACAGACTTTCCTGCCCAGGCTGGCTTTGAACCACGATCCTCAGATTTCAGCCTCCTGAGTAGCTAGGATTACAGGCATGAGTCACCAGCACCCAGCTACACAACACTTTTTAGTTGACACAGGGTCATTATGTGCATTCGTGGGGTGCACTGTGACATTTCAGTGCACTTATAATCAATGTGCAATGGTCGGTGAGGGTGAATGGCATATTTATCACCTCAGACTTTTTTTTTTTGGTGCTGGTACTAGGGCTTGCTCTCAGGGCCTGGAAGCTGCCCCATAGCTTTTTTTGCTCAAGGATGGTCTCTACCATTTGAGCTACAGCTCTATTCTTGTTTCCCCCCTCCTCCCCCCAGCTAACTAGAGTCTCCTGGACCTTCCTGCTTGGACTGCCTTTGAATGTCAATCCTCAGATCTCAGCCTTCTGAGTAGCTAGGATTACAAGCATGAGCCACTGGTGCCTGGCTATCATTTCTTTTTACTGAGAACATTTAGAAGACTCATTGTTAGCCATTTTGAAACATTCAATTATTTATTGTCAGCCATAGTTACCCTCCTGCACAACAGAACATGAGAAGCTAGATTCTTCTTCTTCAGATACAGTGTCCATCAACTGTCCTCCCTCCACCTGCCTCCTCCCTTCCAGCCTCTGATAACCATCTCTTTTTTCCTTTTTTGAGACCAGGACTTTAACTTGGTATCTGACACTTTTGCTCGCTGGCTGACACCTTACCACCTAAGCCACACCTCCAACTGCCTATTTCTCTTCTATTAATTTTAAAACTTCTTTTAAAACAGCATGTATTCATTAATTAATAGCAGAGGCGTTCACTGTGCTATTTCCATCGTGCACATAATGTGCTTTGGTCTCAGCTGCAGCTAACTGGCACTCTTTGCCCTTTCCCAGGCCCAGGCCCAGGCTCAGGCCAGAGCCTCACCCAGGACGCCTGCCCTGCCCGCCCCAGTCCCAGAGGCAGCCACCCCGCCTCCTTCAGGTGAGCCTGCCTCAGTGGCCACCCCCTGACACCACTTGTTGTGTCTGCCAGCGCTGGAAGGGACTTGGAGTCTCCACTCACAGGGCTGGGGTGTCCCTCTTCACCCTCACCTGAAGATGTGCTCTCTCACCTCTGCTGGACACTTATTTCTGAACCTGCAACTCTGTGGGCTCTACATACACCTGTCACTCACCAGAACCCTTTGAGGGGATACTGGGAAAAGTAGTGAGGCAGTAGTGGCTTAATTCGGGGCACCTGGCCACATGAAGTGACTGGGATGTTCGTGTGGCTCCTAGAAGTGGTCCGGGCACTTCTAGAATCCTGATTGGTGATAAAATCTTGAATTCAGGACCCTTCTTCTCCTCCCCAGTGTGCTGAACCCTTGGTTCAGGGGCCTCCCCCTTGGCTTTCTAATGGCCTGTGAACTCCTTGAGGTCCTGCACCTGTGCCATATCCGCTGTGTGGCTGGTAGAAAGTCAGCTGAATTCAGTGCTACAGTAAGACACAAGGGACTCCATGTTCCATGCTGCTGGAACAAAAGTAGTTCCTGCACCTTCACACACACCCCTGTACCTCAGACCTTCTGCAGAGATGATCCACATCCCCAGAGAGCTTGAGAAACAGGATACCAGGGAGAGGGGTGGGGTGGGGGGACACAGTGTTCTTGAGAGCGAGCAGTAGCCCTGGGCTCCCGTCTTACATGGAACATGCTGGCTAAGGATGTGCCCTCAGGTGACATCTCTCTTTCTCCTCATTAGTTTTGTACCCAAACCTGGCAGAACTGGAGAACTATATGGGTCTTTCCCTCTCCAGCCAAGAAGTCCAGCAGAGCCTGCCTCCGACTACAGAGGGTGACAGCGTAGGTACCCGCCATTTCCAGCCTGGGGTGGGCCCTGGATGTCCCCATCCTCTTCCTCTTGTTGGTCTTGGTGGGGATTTCGCCATTTCGTATCATCTCTGCCCTTTGATCTGTGGCTCCCGGCTGCTGGCTTGACCCAGCTGGACCAGGAGGGATAACATTGAGCACCAGACTGCTGTCAGACTGTCTTCTTTGGTCTGATTCATCTTAACTCTCCTCCTTGCACCTCCCAGGGATTATAGATGGGTACCACCCTGCCCAGCTGGTAATTCAATTTGAGGAAAGTTTACAGATTTATTGTTGATTTTTTTACTTCTTCAATTTATGGATACAGAAGGTCTCTGTGTTTTAGATCTTCTTTGTTAAGGTGTAGCAGTACTTTGTCTATATTTGACATATGGTATTTTTTACACATTTTCTTGAATTTATACTTATTACCCTCCCCCCTCCCGTTTTAGTGATTATGTTTTAGATCTTCTTTGTTAAGGTGTAGCAGTACTTTGTCTATATTTGACATATAGTATTTTTTACACATTTTCTTGAATTTATACTTATTACCCCCCCCCCCCCCCGTTTTAGTGATTATAAGTGGCATGTATTTTTATTTATTTTGCTGGTCTTGGGGTTTGAACTCAGGGCCTGGGTGCTGTCCTTGAACTCTTTTGCTCAAGTCCAGTGCTCTGCCACTTTGAGCCACAGCTCTGGTGGTTAATTGGAGATAAGTGTCTCAAGGACTTTCCTTCCTGGGCTGGGCATAACCTCTATTCTCAGATCTCAGTCTCCTGAGTAGCGAGGATTACAGGCTTGAGCCATCAGTATCTGGCTAGTCTGTGTTTTTGTTTTTGTTTTTGTTGTTGTTGTTTTTTATCAGTCATGGTGCTTGAACTCTGGGCCTGGGCACTGTCCCTCAGTTCTTCAGCTCAAAGCTAGCACTCTATCACTTGAGCCACAGTGTCACTTCCAGTTTTCTGGTGGTTAATTGGAGATAAGAGTCTCACAAACTTTCCTGCCTGGGCTTTTTTTGAACCTCGATCTTCAGATCTCAGCTTCCTGAGGATTATAGGCATGCGCCACCAGCACCTGGCTCCTTGTGTATATTCTTAAACACATTTGAGCTTTTATACAAAAGAATGTCATGCTTTATGCTTTATATCCTCTATTGATATTCCATTGCTAAGATTTAGACTATTGCTAAGTGTAGTTAGAATCTGGCTGGTCTGTGCTTTTAATTTCAGGTACATTTGGGTTTGGGTTTGGTGGTGGTAGTGTTGTTGTTTTTGAAATGAAGTCTCACTGTTGCAGAGGCTGTCCTTGAACTCTGAGTTCAAGTGGTCTTCCTGACTCAGCCTCCCGAATAGCTAGGACATGCACCACTGTGTGCAGAACCATTGATTTTTGTGTGTTGACTTTGCATCCTATGACCTTGATGAGCTCATTTATTAAATCTAGAAATCACTTTGTAGACTCCTTAAGATGTTCTACTATACTGCCATTCACCTAGGGAGGACAGCTATATTTCTTTTCTGTTCCATATGCTTTTTGTTTCATTTTCTTGCCTTATTGCATTGGTTAGCTATTATAGTCTTGTGTTTAATGTGAAGGTGAGCCTGGACATCTTGTTCTGAATCCGATAAGGGAAATTTTGTTAACTTTTACATTATTGGATTAATTTTTTTCCAAAACAAAAATTGGATCAAGTAATCCCTCCTTTTTTCCCTCTCCCATTGATCACTATTTACTATGAAATCATGTTTCTATTGTAAAGTCATCTTTTCTTGATGCTAATTTCCCACACACACCCTTTTTTTTCTGTAACCAGTGAGGTCCCCTTTCTGGTGACCCTTTTTCTTCATTTTGTAAGGGAGTGACTTTGTTGCCCTCTAGTGGCCTCGTGAAGTCAAATTCCTTGCAAGCCCATTCTGGGCTTCTCAGCAGAGAAATATGTGGTACCCAGGAACTGTCGCATCCCACTTTGCCCCTCCTTACCCAGACCCCAGGGACCCCTAAGGCATAGCCCCAGGAGCCTGGCTCACCTGTTCCCTGGTGTCTGCAGATGGTAGTTTCTGGCTCCTGGCCTGGCCAGGTGGTGGCCCCTTTGTCGGGGAACAACCTGGGCGTGCGTCGTGCAGAGATCAAGCCCGGGGTGCGTGAGATCCACCTGTGCAAGGATGAGCGTGGCAAGACCGGGCTGCGGCTGCGGGCCATTGACAAGGTAGGCCCGCTTAGGAGTCCCTCCAAGGGGGTGGGCCTCCTTAGTGCTGGATATCGCCAACCACATCCAGTGGTCCGGCTTTGGGTCACCATCACCCTGCAGGCCAGGACTGGAGGTCCAGCAGGGGCCTCCTCACCAGGAGCTGACAGCCTTGTCCACAGTAAGGAGGGTGCAGAGCAGGCCTTGTAATCCTGAGACTCCCGGGCAGCAAATACCCTGCACCTGCCTCTCCTGTGCTCCTGATGCCCAGAATCTCCTCTTCCCGATTCCCCAACTCACAAGCTTCCTGAGACTTTATTTTTGTACCAGTCCTGAGTACTGTCCCTGAGCTTTAGTGCTCAAGGCTAGCACTCTACCACTTGAGCCACAGCTCTACTTCCATTTTGGTGGTTAATTGGAGATAAGAGTCTCATGGGTCTTTCCTGCCTGGGCTGGCTTAGAATCGTGATGCTCAGATTTCAGCCTCCTGAGTAGTTAGGATTACAGGTGTGAGTCACCAGCCACTGGCTTGCTTAGGACTTTATAGACAGTAACAGCCAAGAAAGCCTTTGTGAGAGGCAGTGCAGTAGAGTGGCTTGGGGAGAGGCCACCTGGCTGGTGTTGACCTTCTGTTCTTGTACAGCCTGTTATGTTTCCTTCCCAAGAAAAACACTCAAGCATCGGGCCAGCCCTGCACAGCTATGGTCCTGTTACCCCACAGGCTTGAGATGACCAGGAGTATGGGGAAAGCAACCGTTGGTTGTGGTCTGAGCTCTCTAGCCAAGGGTGCTGATTCTGGGACCCTGCTTCCCTAGGGGCTTTTTGTCCAGCTGGTCCAGGCCAACACCCCTGCCTCACTGGTGGGCCTGCGCTTTGGGGACCAGGTCCTGCAGATTGACGGGCGTGACTGTGCTGGCTGGAGCACAGACAAAGCCCACCGAGCGATGAAGAAGGCATCAGCTGAAAAGATTGTCATGGTTGTTCGGGACAGGTGAGTAGCCAGGCCCCAGGGGCCTCTCAGACCACACTCCTAGGCCAAGCTCACTGTCCCTCTCTTCCAGGCCATTCCAGAGGACGGTCACCATGCACAAGGACAGCTTGGGCCATGTTGGCTTTGTCCTCAAGAAGGGGAAGGTGGCGTCGGTGGTCAAGGGGAGCTCTGCAGCCTGCAATGGGCTGCTGACCAACCACTATGTGTGTGAGGTGAACGGGCAGAACGTCATTGGGTTAAAGGTAGGTTGTGACCACACACTGCCACAGATAGCAGGCATTGGGAGAGGTTGGGGTAGCAAGGCTTTTGTCCGCACAGGTTGCACGGGCAGTGGGCCCCACCCAAGCCACTGCTGCCTAAAGTTTCAATAGGACCTGCATCCAGCACTCCGTCACTAGCACAGAGAGGGACAGAAGGAGGGGTGTGGCTACCTGTGTGAGGACACAAATAGCTACTGGCTTTCTCGGTGTGGTACTTCTAGTTGCACACTTACCCCATGCACTCAGGGTTTCTTTTAGAAACTGGTTCTTTGTTCAAAGGTGGTGGGGTAAACCTTATCTTTTTTTTCATCTTTGTTGGTCAGGGGGCTTGAACTCAAGGCCTGAGCACTGACCCCTGAGCTTTTTTCAGTCAAGGATAGTGCTCTACCACTTTGAGCCACAGCACCACTTCCGGTTTTCTGGTGGCTAATTAGAGATAAGAGTCTCAAGGATTTTCCTGCTCAGGCTGGCTTTGAACCATGATTCTTGGATCTCAGCCTCCTGATTTGCTAGGATTACAGATGTGAGCCACCGGTGCCCAGCTCATGAATTTTATCTTTGGAAAGTGTTCTAGGAGCCATGCCATTGATGTGGAATGCTTAGGATGCCTTCCAGGACAGCAAAAGTCATGTGGTTTTGGTCTTGAACAAGTGGGAGTGGTCTTATTTATTTTGGTGGTACTGAGGTTGAAAGTCAGGACTTCACACTCACTTGGCTTGTTGCTTGCTTACTCAGCTGACACTTCTACCACTTGAGCCATACCTCTAGACCTACTGGTTATTTTGGAGATGAAATCTACTGAACTTTTCTGGTCTAGAACCATGTTCCCTTGTATTGCGGCCTCCAGGGTAACTAGGTGTCTAGGCAGGTACCATTAGTGCCTGGGGAGAGTGGCTTTATCCTGACTTGTTGCCTCTTGGACGGAGAGCAGTTTTTTCTTTCTTTTTTATCCTGGTTCTGGGGCTTGAACCAGGGGCTTTTCCTTAGCTGTTTTTTTGCTGCTCAAGGGTAGTAGTCTTCCACTTGAGTCAGCTTTGAACTGGAGAGAAGAGTCTTTCAAACTGTGAACTGGGAGCCTCAGATCTCAGCTTCCCGAGTAGCTAGAATCACAGGCATGAACCTCCAGCGCCTATCTCTGAGAGCAATTCCTAATCTCAGATATGGGGTGGAGTGAGAGTCCTTCTCCTGTGGCTGTAGGTTTAGTGGTGTGGAGCAGGACTCCTCCAGCAGATGTGGCTGGGTGGTTGCCTATCACTCCACAGCTGGTACCAACCATTCCTGCCACGTGCTTCACAGTCTTCCCCCACCTTCCTTGGAGGCTTGTTCTGGTAGCTCATGACCATTGTGATCAGGAAGTCCTTCCTATTATCTGTCTAAGAGGATCCTTCCTGCTATGTCCTCGGTCTTTCACTGGACAATCCAAAGGAAAACCCACTGGACTTTAAAAGTTGAGTCAGCAATACCAATTGTGAGCAGCCAGAGTGCTGGGCTATTCCTTTGAAAGGAACCGATTCTGCTGCTGTGTTTCTGTCATCACATGGATGGTTCAAGGCGTCATCATGAGCTTATCAGCTGCTCTACCAGAGTAAAGCAGAGGGATAAAGCTTGTCCCTTTACTGAGTTGCTCAGATAGTTGTGCTTTTTTTCTTTTTGTCGGTTGTGGGGCTTGAACTCTGGGTTTAGGCACTGTCCCTGCGCTCTTCAGCTCAAGGCAAGCACTGTACCACTTGAGCCACAGCGCCACTTCCAGTTTTCTGATTTATTGGAGATAGGCGTCTCATGGACTTTCTTGCCCAGGCTGGCTTTGAACTGTGATCCTGAGCTCAGCCTCTTGAGTAGCTAAGATTACAGGTGTGAGCCACCGGCACCTGGCTAGTTGTGCTGCTTGAGATCACTCAACTCCCAAAGTATGTGTATGTCCTCTCCCTGTGGTCATTGCTAGTCCTATCTCCCATATGTAAGACAAGGACACTCAACCAGATTACATCTACATGTAAAGGGCAGTAGGCCTTGAGAAGGACAGAGTTCTGGCCTCAGCTGTAGTGATGGGCCAGCAGGCTTTACTGGGAGACTTTTAGATTGTTTTCTTTCACAATCTCAGTGGCTTCTGCAGGCTTCCTCTCTCCCAGTCAATGTTTTCTTGCTGTTGTTGTTGTGTCATTCATGGGGCTTGAACTTGGAGCCTGGATGCCATCCCTGAGCTCTTTTGCTCAAGGCTAGTGCTCTACCACTTTGAGCCATAGTGCTACTTCTGGTTTTCTGGTGGTTAATTGGAGATGAGAGTCTCCTGGACTTTCTTGCCTGGGCTGGCTTTGAACTGTGATCCTCAAAGTTAGCCTCCTGAGTAACAAAGATTATAGGCATGAGCCATCCATGCCCAGCTCTTGAAGAAGCATTTGAGGAAGACTATGTGGCTGGCTCAGTGTGTGCCATTGGCTTGTTATTCTCTTGTGTCTTGAGCTACAACCCAAGTGTGACAGGGCCCAGGGAGGTGGTGATGCTGTGGGCCAGGTCACACAGCTGACCTCAAAGGGGATGGTGGGGTGTGCCATGCTCCTGGACACTGAGATCCTCAAGCAGGAGATGCATGGCCTTGCTCCAACAAGATCCTACGTGCTCCTCACCTGACAACCCTAGGAACGCAGGCAACCTGGCCTCTGTAGGCAGTTGTCCATGGTGTTGAATAGCAGTGGCCACTCTGACTGGCTGTTGGCTGTCAAGGTAACCATTCACTCACCTTCTTTGTAGGACAAAAAGGTCACAGAGATTCTGACCACAGCTGGAGATGTCATCACCCTGACCATTATTCCCACAGTGATCTTCGAGCACATGGTCAAAAAGTAAGACTGCACCCCCACTCTACCTTCCCCTCCTCCCAGCACCTTGGCGCCCACCTGCCCCTCCCTCCAACCCTGCCCCTCCTCCCAAGGTGGCTTCAAGTGACCACTTAGAAGTAAGAGGCGAAGATAATCCCCTGGGTTGTGCCTGCTCTGGGGCGGGGAGGCAGCGGGAGGAGGGGCCACCAGTTTCACGCCACTGTCTCCATTCTTCCGTCTAGGCTGTCCCCAACGCTGCTCCACCACACCATGGACCATTCCATCCCAGATGTCTGAGGCCACTAGAGGACATCTTGGCTCTCCCTTCTCCTTGCAGGGAAGGGCAGCTGTCCTCAGATGACAGGTTGCGGCTGGCGTGCTGACAGAGATCCAGGGTTTGAAGTGGGGGGCAGTAGTGTTCCAGGTGGGTGGACATCAGATGGCATGAGTCTGTCCTTGGGGCCTTGACATCCTAGCTGGGCCCAGGCAAGGGCAGGGCAGTGTTCCCAAGGAGCCATTCTCTGAGCTGTTTACATGCAGAACATGCAGGTGGGCCTGCCCAACACTCTTGTCAGAGTTGTGGCTGGGTCCCTTTCAAAATTCTACCTCTACCAGGAAAAGCAGCTACAGGATTTGGGAGAGCAGAAGTTATGTTGTGAGAATGTTTAAATTTTTCTTTTATCACTCTTCATCACAGACTGCATATATACAGTTCGAACCCTTTACTGTATTTTAAATAAAGATCTTAAATATCCTGTTCCCAAAGCTATTGAAATGTTCTAGAATTCTCAGTGCTGTGACACGCAGTAGAGCTGCTTCTCTACCACCCCCCCTCGACCCCCGCTTTGGTGCCAGTCTTGGGGCTTGAACTCAGGACCTGGGTGCTGTCCTTGTGCTTCTTTTGCTCTACCACTTGAGCCACAGCTCCATTTCCAGCTCTTTTTTTTTTTTGGTGATTAATTGGAGATAAGAATCTCACAGACTTTCCTGCCTAGGCTGGCTTTTGATCCCAAGATTTCAGCCTCCTGCATGGCTAGGATTACAGGTAAGAGCCACCAGTGCCTGGCATGCTTTTCTTTTAAACAGTGGTGAAGAGGCACCAGGCCTTTCTTTCCTAAGCCATCTCTGGGAGCAGTGGTGTGCAGGGGTCTATCACAGGTGATCACATGTCACATGCCTGCCAATCTGCACAGAGATGATATATGGGGTGGGGGGAGCGTGTGGGGAGGACTGGTAGGAGCATTGCACTAGTTTGGGGGTCTCCTGTATGAATCACTCTGGCTGCAAAACTGGCCTGAGAAGCTAGAGCCTGTCAGAAAGAAGGGACTGCAGTGTCCAGCAGGATCTGACACTTGGGGGGGCTCTTGGAAGAGAGGATTCTAGACCCCGTACCTGACCTAGGTGGACAGCGCTTTCCCAGCACCATGTAGCAGAGCCTTGTGGGACTGAACCAGCACCCAGCCTGCCACTTCCTTCTGTGTTGGGCAAGGATGGTGTGAGCTCCTCCCCTACTTCAACTTAGAAAAATGACACAGTACAGAGACAAGCACAGAGGCCAAGGGGGCTTGCTGTGTGCTCATGCTTTAATTCAGAGCTGTCTGCGGCAGGTACAACTCTGTGTGAACAAAAGGACAAAGGAGATGAGAGTCAAGACCCCTTCCCCTCCCCCCTCCCCACATACCCTGAATTCTCTGCCAAGGGGATGATGGCCTAATGTGAGTGTGCTGTGACCCATGTGTATGGCCCCTAGGTTGGAGAGGGAGTTGTGAAAGGCCCCTTAGGAGGCTTTGAGTGTAATCCCACCCTCCCTCTGCCCCAAAGTGCTGTCAGATGCCCTGTGCTAGTGTTGACTGGGAAGGTGTTTCAGTGAAAAGCTAGGTTATGACATGGGTCCTAAGTTCTACTCAAGGCCAGTTCTTCGTACAGAAGTTGAGCTCAGCCCCTGAGTTCTGTCTCAGGCTGCATGAGAGAGATAGCAGGGTCACTGGTCCTGGCCTCAGAGCTAAGAAAGAACCACTCTGGCCACTGGGCTCCAAGGGACCAGTAGTGAGGAAGCTATGTCCCAGGACACTTCCTCAGAACCTGGTGGGCACCAGCTAGAGACAGGAGAGGGGAGCCCTGAAGTTTCTTCAGAAGCTGAGGGCAGGAGGAGGCATTGAGCTGAAGGGAATGGGGAGTTTGGGGGGATGGCTAGGGCCCCAGCCCCAGTTCTTGCCTTTCCCAGCCAGCCCCTTGTTCTCTACCCTGATTTGTCAGTGTTGGCAGCCCTGGCCAACAGGTTGCTGTGCACCTACCACTGGGAACCATAGGGGCAGTGCTGTCTCTTTGCATAGATGTGGGACACTGAGCATGTACACACACACACACACACACACACACACACGCACACACCGAGGAGCCAGGACAGGATCACCCACCCAAGAGGCCCTAGAGCCTGTCCCAAGGCTGGTGGGTGAGCTGCTTTCTTCACCAGCAATAAGAAAGCCCACCAAGGCCTCACCAAGAATCCACAAAGAGCCAGGTGCTGGTGGCTCGTGCCTGCAATCCTAGCTTACTCAAGAGGCTGAGATCTGAGGATTACAATTCAAAGCCAGCCCAGACAGGAAAGTCCGTGAGACTCTTTATCTCCAGTTAATCACCAGAAAACTGGAAGTGGAGCTTTGGCTCAAAGTGGTAGAGCGCTAGCCTTGAGCAAAAAGAGCTCAGGCACAGCGCCCAGTCCTTAGGCCCATGACAGTATAAACAAACAAAAAGAATCACTAAAGGCCGGACCCTCAGTGGCGTAGGCTGGGACTCCTGGTGACCACATAGACAGGTCTTGGGCTGGGGGGGGGGGGGGGGGCGGGCGCTGAGGGTAGATGGCCACCAGCCTCACTCACCTTCCCAACAGCCTTCACAATGATACCCGCACAACAGGGACAGCAGAGCCCAGCCCTGTCCATGTCCACCCAAACACAAGACACAAGAGGAAGGCCACAGACAGCAAGACATGAACAGGAGCAGAGGGCTGCAGAGCTTGACTAAATTCCACAGGTGAAAAAGAGGATTTCCCCCCCCTCCGTGGTCAAATATAGTTCATACATTTATTGTCTCAGCAAAGCTTTGACTGTTTCTAAGGAGATGCTCTGCAGCCCCAGGAGTACACGGCACAGGAGGCTGGGTCCGTGGCTAATCCTGGCCTCTTTGGATTCATTTTGTCCCTCCGTGGCACAGCCCCAGTCAGGTCCCAGAGGCATCTGGGCTGGGTCCAGCTGGGGCTGGGTGGTGCTCCCCCCCAAGATGGCTGGTCTGAGGCTCCGGTCCAGGTGTGGGGGCGGGGGAGCTTTAGAGGCACAAAGTGCGTGGCAGGGAAGCTCACATCCCAGGGGCTGGGCTGGTGGCCCACTGCCAGTGCATGCAAGTGCCCCTTGAGGAGGGCATGGAGCCTGAGTCAGGCAATGACCGTCGGGGCAGCAGGGGGAGGGCAAGCAACCTTGGCAGACAGCTCAAGTGGCCCTGAGGCCAGAGGGGTGAGTGAGACGCCAGGTTCCAGCATCCCAAATTGGGCCTAACCTCTGGCAAATAGGTGTGCTGCCCAGATTTTTTTTTTTTGGGGGGGGGTGGCCCTCGCGAAGGAAGAGGGCTTACTTGGTAAACTAGTCATAGGCATTAAACATCAGCAGCTTTGCTGGGACTTGGATGTGATCCCAGGGGAGGAAGAGACAGTGAACCGACCCAGCCAGGGCTGGGAGTGGCAGCAACAGGGTCCACCCACCGGCCACGCCCTTTCTCGCACGCGCGCGACGCATGCCCAGGGCACCCTGCTTTCACCTGGACAGACATCATGGCTTCAGTACACCTGGAGATTCCCCAGCCTCCTCTGGGGGGCAGACAGGTGGAAGATTTAGGAACCCTCATCCCAGAAAACAAGCAGGCACCCCAGGGGAGGTCCTGCAGGTGGATGTGAACACAAGGTAAAGTGGAAGTGGGGTCTAGGCCAGAGGGTATCCGGCAAGTCCCAGGGACAGTGGCAGCCTCTGGCTTTTTTAACCAGCTGAGGATTCCTGAGTCCGGCACCTTCCAGACTGCAGACGAAGGCCGCCTTTCCCAAGGCAGAGGCCTCTGGAGCTCCCTGCCAGCCTCTGCTGTGTTGGCCTCACTGCATCAGCCTCCGCCATGTCGGTGGTGCTAGCCGTGGTGGCTGGGGCTCTGCATGTGCTCCCAGCCTGGATTGCCTTGAGTTTAGTGGTCAATAAGGGGAGACTGAGCTGGCACACCAAAGCTAAGAAGAAAACGGACGATGTGGAGAGCCTGGGAGGACGGACAGACAGACAGACACAGAAGCCACCCTGCTCTGCGCCTCCTGCTCAGCATGTTTTTTCCTGCAGCCTGGTGTGTGTGTGTGGGGGGGGGCATGGCCGTGCTTCTGCATCGCAAGTGGGGAGAAGGCATGTGGTGGGGCCAGAGTTCTAACCCAGGCCCAGAGGTTCCAGACCCTTCTCTGAGTCCTGGGGGAAATGGCTGACTTCATCTGAGGAGCTAATTCTGGCCCAGAAGCACAGCAGAGGGCAAGGGGGTGGTTTGAGACAGTGGCCTGGCAGGGGGAGGGCACTGGACAGAGATGGTACAGAGAGTAGAGGGACCCAGATAAATGCAGCCAGACTCCCTGAGCAAGATCCTGTCTGTCTGAAGGGCCAGGTGAACAGAGGGCCAAGCTGGGGACCCGGATCAGCTTGTGTTGTCTGCAGTTTGTCCAGTTGCTGTGCCTCCTTGCCTGGGACCTCCCTCACCCTTCTTTTCTCCCAGAGTTTTGGGGTGCCTTTCCCAACTCCTTCTTCTAGCCCGTGACACTGTTAACTTCGGGGGCGGGGGAGAAGGGGGGCAAAAATGAATTCAAACCCCAAACTAAATAAATATGATGATGCCCATGGCGCTGTGTGAAGGGGAGGACGAACAGCATCACTACAATCAGTGGTCAGTGCTGGCCTAGACCCGCCTGCTCAGAGCTGGGAGCCGCTGCCCGCTGCGCTGGGGCCCGGCTGGCTCAAAGAGCGGCAGCTGATCCTGCGGATGGAGTGCAAGGCCACGGTGCAGCAGCCCCGCAGCAGGGAGCTGATGTTGTAAATGGGCTGGCCCTGGCGCCGCTGGGAGCGGCAGAGCCAGGCCACCGTGGGCACCGCTGGCACCACCACGGCCAACAGATCCACGATGTAGTGGCGGCTCCAGTAGCTCTTAGGCTCCTTCTCGGCCGTGGCTGCGGCGGGAGCGGCCTCATCTTCTTCTTCCATGGGGCACACCACGCTCACAGACAGCCCGGGGTTGGGGCTGGATCCTGGCTGTGGGTGGGCAGTGGGTCCTCGAGTGATGGGCTCTGAGGCTTCCAGCTCATCACCCACTGTCACCACCACTGCCGAGTTGGGGTCTCTAGGCTCCGGGGGGTGGGGATCCGGCTGCCGGCATTCAGGGACTCTCCCGCACCCCTGGGCCTGGCTCACTTTCTCCAGGATGGTGTGCAGGTCAGGCTGGTATTGGACCATGTCTGTCTGGATGGCCCGCTCCTGCATGCAGCTGGCCTGCACGCCGGCCTCCATGCCACACAGAAGCTTCTCATAGGTGTTGCTGGCAGGAAAGCGGGCACCCAGGCTGAAGGAGCTGTGCAGCGAGGCCTCCTCAGGGCCACAGTCCACCCCAGATGACAGTAGGCTGCTGGCCTCCAGGGCGTCCGTCCGGCTCAGGGTGTCGTCGGCAGCCGCGAAGCCGCTGTCGGCTCCATCCTCAGCCGAGGCGCTGGGGGGGTCTCCCGGCTGGGGGTCGCCACAGACGGCTGGGTCGCTCAGCTTGGTGTAGGTGGAGCTGCGGGTGAGGGAGCGGGCTGGGGAGCCGCCCGCCGACTCCCCGGTGCCCTCCTCCTTGGCCGTGCCATTCTGGGCCACCTCCATACTATGCAGCAGCGTCTCCAGCTTCTTGTTCTGGATGTTGATGTCCACAAAGTACTTCTGCAGCCCCTTGTCCTTGTCAATCAGGTTGTTCTTGACTGTGTCGATGACCTGCTTGAGCTGTTTGATCTCCTTGCGGGCTTCCTTCAAGGCCAGCTGGGCCTCCACGCGGTGACACTCCTCCTCGATCCAGTCCTCCTGCATGCGAGACAGCTGTGTCTTCAGGTCATCAATCTCCGTGTCCCTGCCGGCAGAGAAGGCACGCTGCTCACAGCCTGCCCACCTGGCCACTACCACCACCTGGGAGAGGCAAGGAGGGGCACAGCGTGCCCGGGGCTGTTCCGTGGTGGCTCTCAGTTAGATGAGGAAGGACAGGAGGACAGACAGATGCCTCTTCTCCTTCCTCCGCCAACTTTTAGGGGGCGGGGGGCGGGGAGGATTATGGGGTTTGAACTCAAGAGCCTGCATGCTCTCCCTGTGCTTTTGTGCGCAAGGCTAGCACTCTATCATTTGGAGCCACAGCACCACTTCTAGTTTTCTGGTGTTTCATTAGAGATAAGAGTCTCATGGACTTTCCTGCCTCTCTTCCCCTTCTTTTCATCCCTACCTGGAGGGAAAAGGAATGGTAGCTGGGGCCACTCCCCCACCCCCAACCTCCTCTCCCTCCACCGCCTAAGCCAAGCCCCAGATGCCTCAATCCTCACATTCGTCATCCAGGGGAGAGACTAAACAGATGTATGACTGATCAGTGACGTAGCTGTAAGAAATAAATCTCATGTGAAACAGTGGACATGAGACAAAAAAATCTTTGCTCTGTGGAAGATGTAGCTGGCTGGACACCATGACACATGTCTGTAATCCCAGCTACCAGAGAGGTGGAGATTGGGAGGATAACCAGCCTGGGAAAGAAGTTATCATGATTGTTCCATCTCCATGAGCAGAGCAAGGATGGTGGTGCACACCTGTAGTCCCCAGCTTATGCAAAAGGCATAGGTAGGAGGGTTGGAGGAGGGGGGATATGAGAACCTATTTGAAAATAATGAAAGAAAAAGGGTTGGGAGGGGCATGGCCCAGTGGTATAACAGCTGCCTGCCTAGCAAGTTCAAGGCTCTAAGGTCAAACCAGTACCATTAAAAAACAAAACGAAACAAAAAAAGAAAAGGAAAAAAGAAAGGGGCGGAGGATATGGCCTCCTACTAAAGCAGGTGGTGGCATTCTGAATGGAGTGACATCTGGCCAGAGGCCCCCGGAGAGTGATGAGGTGAGAGAAAGGACCCCCTTTGGCGTTGGAGGGGAAGAGCTGATAATTTTACTCCATCCCTAAGGGTAAGAATTGGAGGAATCCAGGGTGGCTCTCTTGTCCATGCTGGCATTTAATTCTCTATATCCATGTCAAGAGGAGAAGCTAAAAAGATGGTGGTGACAAGCATTGCTGAGCTTGAGGGAAGGGGAGCGCCAGGCAGGGAAGCAGGGCAACAGGAAGACAGGATTCCACAAATTCTGGGGCTTCTCCAAGGCCCTTTGCTCAAAGAGTGCAGGGGGTACAGGGGAGGGAGGACAGTAAGAACACACCCACAAGTCTGGAGGTAAAACCAGGGAGAGACAAGATAGAGTACAGACAGACAACAAATAGCAAGAAAGAAGAAAGACTGTGAATGATTTCCCACTCCAAACCAGACACTCACTGAATAAACTGTAAAAGGCCTGGCCCTCACTGGATTGTTTAAAATTGTGTGTGTGTGTGTGTGTGTGTGTGTGTGGTTTGTGTGTATGTATGCCAATACTGGGGCTTGAACTCGGCCTGGGGGGCTATTCCTGAGCTTTTTTGCTCAAGGCGGGAGCTCTCTCACTTGAGCCACAGCTCCACTTCTGTCTTTTTGGTAGTTAATTGGAGATAAGAATCTCTTGAACTTTCCTGTCTCTGCTGGCTTTGAACTGGAAGCCTCGGATCCCAGCCTCTTGAATAGCTAGGATTAGAGGTGTGAGCTACTGACCATGCCCAGCTGCATGGTGCTGGGGGATGGGGGGGATTTATGAGTTCAGCTATGACTGTCGCCACCCAGGCACCACTGACTTGTCGCTCAGACTTCCAGGAACTGGACCCAGGAAGCCCACTCCATAGCATGCTGGCCTGCGCTGTGCCTTGCCTCTCCCTACCTAGACTAGCCAGCGTTGGCACCCAGCCCTGCTCAGGCCGCACAGCCCACAGGACATTCCATTTGAAATGTGGTGTGAAAGGTGAGTTTGCAGGCAGAGGGAGCTGCAGCAGAGACACAGCACCCGGAAGCACAGAGCTGGCAAAGCACCTGGCATCTGCCTGAGAGGGAAGGCAGGCTCGGGAGGGAGAGGATGCCAGAGCAAGGCAGGGAGACCAGGAGGACCACTCAGGGTCTTGCCAGGGTGACAGGCAGGGTGAGCAGGGACAAGGTGAGAGAGTGCCCATGGCAGGCCCTCCTGCCAAACCACCCAGGGCTACCGTCTGCTGGGAGCCGCTGGGCTGACCCAGACAAGAAGTGGAGAGACGGGATACTTGGCCCCAAGGGACATTAGTGTAGAAGACCAAGCGGAGTCCAGCCATCTTCAGGAAAATGACAGGAAATAGAAATAGAAATGGAAGCTCTGAGGGAAAAAGGGAGAGAAGAACGTGAGAATGTTCCTGCACTTGGAAACCAGGGCAAATCCAAACTTGCTCTGGTCACAGAATAAGTGGTCACAGATGGGGCATTATGACATGACCAGAGTGACGGGGCAGTAGAAAGGTCAAAGGCTGCCATTGATAGGGTGCATGAAGAGAAATGGAGAGCAGGTATCAGGGGAGTAAGGCCCCTCGTGGGTGGGGATGAAAGTAATGACAGAATCAGTGAGTGGTAATGGCCCAGAAAGTCCTGGGACTACATGACAATGTGTCCAGTTGCGTACTCTGGCTGGGCTGCTCACCGGTCCTGGAGCCGGTCCTGTGTGTCCTTGAGCCGGGCTTTCAGGTGCCGGATGCACACCTCCTTCTGTTGCAGCGGCGTCAGGTACTGCTCCGGGGTGGGGGGCTTGATGCCGTGGTTGTCGCTGCAGAGCGTGTACTTCATGGAACGCCTGCAAGTGGACGCCGTCAGGCGGGTGGGGACGGAGGCAGGCAGGGCACAGGGGCTGCTCCGGGAGCAGAGGACCCCAGCCTAGCCATCTTCTCTGTCCACGAGCACCGGATGGCTCCAAGCAAGGCCTTCTGTACAGGGCCACATGTGGACAGGTGGCTTTTAGGGGTGCTCTTCGGAGTGGACCCCATGGTGAGGGACACAAGGCTCCTCTGGTGAGGGAAGAAGACACATCCTAGGCACACATGTGAGCCCTACACCTGCAAAGCGCTTGCCTGGAGCCATCTGCCCCATCCTGGCCACAATGCTGGGTGAAGGAAAGCCTTGCAGAGGGACCGTGGCTTCAGAGAGGTTCGGTCCCCTGAACTGTCAGCCAGTCCCAGTAGCACTCAGAGCCAGGCCCCTGGTCCTCAGACCACGGATGAGGGTGTGGGCTGGAGGCAGGGAGGGAGGGCAGGCTCAGAGTAGGGGTTGGAGGTGGAGGGGACATGGCCACTCCTCCCCAAAGCTAAGAACTTGCATGGCGCAGGGGTGGAGACAGCAGATGTGTGTGTGTGCAGGGACAGGGTCTCCTTATATACTCACACACTTTCCTATAGGGTATGCATTATGCCTGCGTGTGTGCATGTGTGTGCACGTGCATACATGTGCACCCATGCACGTGTACACACACACACACACATATACACACAAGGAGTGTGGTAGGAATTAGGAAGTCTGTGGATTCCCAGTTCATACCCACACACCTGTAGGTGTGCACACACACCTGTGGCTATGCATCCTCATCATCTTCCTGCCACCATTGTGAGCAACCCCCTGGGCCAGAACACTAGCCTGTGTGCACGCACACACACACACACACACACACACACACACCCTCTGGGACACCTGTGAGCACACACAGGGACAGCTTCTGGGGCTCCTGTCATCCAGGTCCCCTGGGTGGCAGCAAGCTGGGTGGGCTTTGCTCCCAGCAATCCTGACCCACCCGTGTAGGGAGAAGGAGGCTCTACCTGAGTGCTGTGTGTGTGGAGGGACAGGCTTTCCAGCACCCTGATTCCACAACAGACTATGGGACAGGTTGCCCCACCCACAGCTTCCTGGCTGCTGGCTCTTCCATTCCTTGAGAGGACTGCTTAGATCTTGGCTTCAAACACTAGGCATGGTCCCACGCACTAGAGACTCTGGCCTGCGGGTGCCCTGTTCCGCTCCAGAGGAAGACGGCACCCAGGCCTAGGGAAGCCTGATACTTGGTGGGGTCAGCGATGACAGGCCCTGGCAGGCTCATTTTCAGAAACAGCCAAATTAGGGACATTTTCAAAAGCTTTGTAGATACTCAGGAGGCTGAGATCTGAGGATCACAGGTCAAAGCCAGCCTGGGCAGGAAAGTCTGTGAGGCTCTTATCTCCAATAAACTCAGAAAAAGCTGGAAGTGGTGCTGTGGCTCAAGTGGTAGAGCACTGGCCTTAAGCAAAAGAGGCTCTAGACCATCACCCAAGCCCCTGAGTTCAAGCTCCAAGACTGGCCAAAAAAAAAAAAAAAGCTTTGTAGAAGCTGCATGATATTTAGCAAAGAACAAATATTTGTAGATCATAAACTGTAGAAGAGAACTTGAATTAAACATGGAAAGCTGGAGAGAAATGATTTTCTTCTGTGTACTTACTTTGACGGCCCTGGGTTTTAACTCAAGCTAAGTCATGTCCCTTTCTGGGCAAGGGGTAAAGGGTAGCCTAGGCCGGGCATTTGGGCTTTCCTGTCTATTCTAAGGTATCTTTTTCCAAAAGAGAAGCAAGCCACACAGTAGCTCTAAGCTGGCCCACTAGGGCTGTGGCTAGAGGGCACAGATATGTGACAAGTTAAGGGGCCTCTTTCCCAGTCTGCAGTGGGGCCAGGTAGCTGGTGGTGCTGCAGGAGACAAGATTACTTAAACCAGAAAGAACCAAGGGCTACAGGAAAGCCAGTGCTTGAACTTTTCTGAGTAAAAAAGCAGCTCTGAGTACAAGCCCAGGGGTGTGTCTCTGGTTTCCATGAATATTGTTTCCCAATCTAACATTGAATATACATTTTTAGCCATTAGCTTTGACTTTCTTAAAATATTATAATATCAAATTACACAATTGGTATATAATTGTATATTTATAATGTAGATCTTCATATATTTTTATAAGTACACTTGAATATTATATATTTATATGCAAGATTAATAAAATATGTACTTGCATATGTAATATATATATATTTAAAACAGAAAAATGCTGGGCACCAGTGCCTCACGCCTGTAATCCTAGCTACTCAGGAGGCTGAGATCTAAGGATCATGGTTTTGAAGCCAGCCCAGGCAGGAAAGCCCATGAGACTCTTATCTACAATTCACCATCAAAAAGCCAGAAGGGGAGCTGTGGCTAAAGTAGTAGCATGCTAACCTGTAGCATAAAAACTCAGGGACAGCGGCCAGGCCCTTCAAACCCCACATTCTACATACACACATAAATACACACACCCCTGAAAAGATATGCCGCACACTGCTATACGGCAAGGGTCTCAGTTACATCCTGAAAAGCCTGGCTGTTTGCAGTGAGGCCCTAACAGAGCCAGCTGGCAGGCAGCTGTGGCACCGGAGGCAGGGCAGTCCCCTGATGTGGCTTCCCACAGAAGCCAGGCTCAGCCCAGGGGTGGAGACTGGCCAAAGGTTTCTAGGTATGAGATGTGTTTCAAAAGCCCACTGCTAATGAAAAGCTGACTGAATACTTTTCAGAATGTAAGTTATCATGGCCTTCTTGTGTCCCCCAGGCTCTGGGGTGGGTTATGGGCAGAATACCAGGGATGCTACAATTGCCTGTCCTCTATCATTCATGACCTAAGAACTGAGGCTGCAGCAGCTCCAGCCATCACTGCTGTCAGATGACATCCCCTTGGCTGAGAGGGGCAGGAAATCTTTCCTGAGAGTGTTCTGACTATGGAGATGCAGGCCGGCACTTTCTCATCTTCTCTTGCTCATAACCTTCTTGTCAGATCAAAGGCAGTGCCTCCTACAAAGGGCAGCACCTGGCCATGGAGTATGTGCAGGTGACCAGCAGGTACCGACACAATCTCACCTCCGGAACTCCAGGTTATTCACTCCCTTTTACCCCTAGAAACAGGAAGTGGCCCTCAGAGACAGGAAGTGGCCCTCAGAGATGGGAAGTAGCCCTGAGAGACAGGAAGTGGCCCTCAGCTAAATTCAAAGCCCTGCCAGTCTCCACATTTTCCTCTCATCTACTTTGTATATCAGCACTGGGGAAAAGGACAATGCCACCATTCTTGCTCTCACTTTGTCTCTTCGGGGACCCTGCAACTCCCCTTTCCCCACTCCTCCAACCTGATCTTGCATTTCAGGTCTAGGTCCATTGGATCCAACACTACAACTCAGCTCATGCTGCCTTGGTAGGATACTTTCCTTTCCAAACAACGCCACCTCTGCCACCCTCACAGCAGCCCGAGAAGAGCAGACTGACAATGTCACATCCATGTTGCCTTCTTCACCAGCAGAACCCCAGCTTTGTTTGGGGTGACACCATACAGGAGGAAAATACAAACTCTCTGTCTGCATTAACTGGCTGGAAGCTAGAAAGTCACACAATCCAGTGCCAGCCAGCAAGATGCAGGCGGAATTTCCTGGGGAGTGTGTACCTGGCTCAGAGAAAAAGAGCCCCTCATAGGGGCTTTGGTCTTTGTAATCATTTTCCTTCCTGGAGGGATGACCTGGTGGCTGGTGGTTCAGCAGCCATCTTGTGATGAGGACAAAGGCTGTCAGCAAGGATGGTAGGGTAGGAAGAGGGGAGACCTCTGATAGTCTAGAGAATTGCCTGCCTCTGACTCCTTATTCAGAAAGCATCCCCATCTCCACCCCTGGTTTGTCTAAGCCACTACATTTGCTTGTGAACAGCTAGACATCAACATCCATCTTATAGACATAAACTGAGGCTCAGAAGGGAGAAGGGACTCACTCCAGGTGACATAGAAATTGAATGTGCGCCAAGTCAGGATGGTCAGGCACCACGCTGCTCCCTCCTCCCCTGGGCACCAGGCTCCCCGGCAGCCAGGCCAGGGCCAGGGCCAGGAAGGAGGGAGGGCTGCTTACCTGGGTGTCGGGCTGCTGTCGCTGCCCTTGCAGGAGCCGGAGTTGCTGCTGCTGCTGAGGGAAGAGGTGCCGTAGGCGTCTCGCACGCTCACAGGTGGAGAGGTGCGCCTGGAGGCGGGGAGAAGAGGCAGCTGCTCATTCTGGCTGGCAGGCAGCTGTGGGCACTGGGCGAACACTGCCAGGCCGCTGCGGCCCAAAGTGCCCCCGCTGGGGGTCGCCACGAGGTAGGGGAGAGAAGCAGGCGGAGAGGGGATGCACAGACAAGGGTGAAGAACAGACAGTGGGAATCAAGATGGAAAGCAGGAGACTGGCCAGCCCGGATCCCCAGAGGCAAGAACACAGGCTCTGTCCGCCCTTCCTACAGGCTAGCCACCCCCAAGCCCAAGGAAGGAGGGGAAGCGTAGGGACGGAGGAGAAGCCCATGGAGGTGAGGATCAGGGAGGCTGGGGGGAGCCCACTGGTTTATCCTAACATCCATATTATTGGACCCTCCCTACTTCCTGGGGCAGGTGAGTTTAGCAAGCCCATTTTAAAGATGGGAAAACTAAGGGCGTGATTTGCAAGTCATTAGCAGGTAAGACATGGGGGCCCACCCTCCCTCCCACCCCAGAGCCCAAGGATCTGAGCCACAGGGGAGACTCACCTGCGGGATCCAGCAGAGGCCCGTCTGCTCCCCGGCAAGGACATGGCCATGAGGCTGCGGGTCCGGGTGAGGGGTGGGATGGGCGGTGTCCCCGGGGCTGAGGAAAGAGGGCGAGTTGGGGGAGGCGCAGGGAGGGCCGGGCCGGGCCACGTCATCCTCTCGCTGGGGCCGCTGCCTGGCATGGCTTCTCCTCTGGCCCTTCAGCAGGACACCCCAGACCAAGTGAGAGCCTGGCCGAGCCTGGTCACGGCGGCCTTCAATGGACTTGGCGGGGCTGGTACACGGGCTCTCGCCACCTGACTTAAAATCACGGTTGTCAGGAGTCTCGGGGATAGCTGGAGGTCATCAGTCCAGTCTGACCCCAGATGATGGAACGTGCTCCAGGAAAGGAGGGCGGGGGGTGGGCAAAGGCTCCGCCCACCGTCACAGGGCCGCTGGTCTTCTGCTTCTCCCCGGGTCCCTGCCCCTCAGACCCCACCTCCCGCCGTCCAGTCCTCCCTCCTCGGCAGGGGCTGCAGGCTGGAGGACGCCCGGAGCAGGACCAGGACCCCCAGATCAAACTGGCTTGGCTTCGCGGTGCATCACCTTCCCGGGGGGGAGGGGGGGAAGCGTGGCTCAGGACTTCCTGTCTACAGGGGAGACAAGACAGACCAACATACCAGCACACGTGTAGAGACACGGAGACACACAGGAACATGAGAGGTACACGCCCCGCCATTCCAGGATGTGCAGCACATGACTGCAGACGTGCTCAAGCGCCTCTGGCCACGAGGCAGAACATGCAGCCGGGCCCCCTTGCCCCGTGCTGCGCGCAGGCACACGCATAATGCAGACATACATGCAGATTCTGGTACATTCCAAGAACGTAGGGCACAGGCGACAAAGCCGACAGGGATGAGAAACAAGGGAGCAGAAGCCCTCCTAACTTGCTGCTGGGGCCCTAGCTGGAAATAGCCATGCTTAAGTGGTTGGGTCAGCTCAGGCCACTGGCTCCTTTGGCCTCTTTCCTGGGTGGGGGCCGGGACCTGAGGGATGCCAGGCTGGGCTGCGGCTGGGGGAGGGGGAAGGGCTATGGGAGAGGTAGAGGCTGGGCTCTTTGCCAGGGCCTGGTAGTCCCCAGCCAGCTCCTGAGACAGCCCGCCTTCTCCTTCCGTGCTCCTATCAGGGACCACAGATGGTAGCCTGGGTTCTAGAAGCTTGGCTGCAGATGCTGTGTCCTGGCACCCCTCCCACCACCCTCCCAAGCCCCATGCTGGGAGAGAAGCATTTATGCGTTCGCCGAACCCCACTGCACAGCAGACCCCGTGCCACACACGTTACGTACATTACGTCACGGACTCCTCCCAACAACCCTATGAGGAAGTGCTATGGTTAGTCCCCAGAGGCTGGGTTGGGGCTCAAGTCACCCCCAGGTGTGTGGAGGGCCAGATCTGCCGAAGGGGCTGGGTCTGGGCCCCCATCCCGGCCTTCCCTGGCCTCCCAGGGGCCAGGTCCTCCCTCCTGAGGGGACAAAGGCACTGCTCAGATGGCCCGTTTCCTGGCTGAGACACAGAACGCAGCCTGTTCCTCTGGAGGACCTGGACACAGCCAGCATTGTCCACCTGGAGGTGTTGGGTGCCGCGTTGACACCACCTCTGTCACCTGAGCTGCTGCTCCAGCTTGTCAGTGCTGGGCCTGTGTAAGGAGGGGAGACGGGTGTCCAGGAACAACAGTGCCAACTCCACAGCAGGGGCTGTGGGCAGGCATGGGGGTGGGGCCAGCAAAGCGCCTCATACCTGGGTAGGATGCCACAAATGGCTCACAGCCTCCTGGGTACAGGGCGGGGGGGGGGGCAGAGGGGGAGGATTCAAGGATTGTTTGCCACTAGTTAAACGTCTCTATGGTCAGGTGACCCTGAGGGGTGCGTCTGTGTACCCGGACGATAGCTGTGAGCAGGCTCGGTGCTCACATGGCTGCAGGGCTGACTGCTCGTCCTTCTCCCTGGCCTCAGGGGCCCTCTTCCATCATGGCCCTCCCTCCTGGCTTTTGGGAGGCTGCAGGAAGGAGGCTGTGCCTTCATGAGGCCTTCCCAGTAGAGGAAAGATACACCTCCCAGGTGGGCCTCTGTCAAGCCATCTCAAGTAAAGCCCAGGAAGAGCTCCAGGCCCAGGTTCCCTGGTGGCAGGCAAGATGCCAGGCCTGCTCAGAGCTCTGGGTGGCCTTGATACAACTAAGGCTTTGTCCCAGCTGTCCCGGCTACTACCTTGCTTGGCAACCCTGTGCCTCCTCCTCTTGAGTTCCCTCTTCCTTCCTCCCTGCCGCCAGGGGTGGGGGGTGGGAAGGGGGTGGCATTTGTACCTGGATGCAGACGACAGTCTCCTGGGAGGCCATTCATTCAGGGTGGAGGGTGGAAGTGGCATTTGCCTGGCGGGCAGGGGACCTCATGGGAGGGCCCCAGGTCCAAAGGGAGCCACCTCTCCACATCCTACTGTGAAGCCTCAGCATTCACCCGGCGTGTTCTCAGGTCCTCCCTCCCATCTGGGGCCCAAGGAAGGAGGCCTGTTGCCGTGGTGTTTGTCACCATGCCACCTGCTCAGCCTGGAGTCCCACAGGCCTGTCCCCCAGGCAGCCACAGGCTCTTGGAATGGAATGGAGGGTGGAGAGAAAGCCCTCAACCAGAGGCAAAGAGGTCATTGACTCCATCTCTCCACTCAGAGGAAACCTGGCCCCTGGCCCCTCCTCCCCCCATTCCTCCTCCTCCAGCCCAGCCCATGGCAAACAGGCCATTGTCCCCCTATAAGGCCCAGTGTTTTCTGAGGACCTACAGGAGGGAGCCAGGGACCAGGAGATGGAGGGATGAAGAAATTGGGTCAAACAGATCTGGGCTCTAATCCCAGCCCTGTCATCCTTGCTTGTCTTGAGCAAGTCAGGCCACTTCTCTGAGCTTTAGGGCATGCGCTGCAAAGTGGGGCTCTGACAATACACCCCATGTGGTTACTGCGAGAATGACATAAAATAGTGCGTGTATGAGGCCTGGGACAAGAGATGGTGGGGAAGGGAGGAGTGGGGAGGTGGGGCGGGAAGAGATGGTAGGGGAAAAACAAAGGAGGGGTAACAATGCTCCACAGGAAATGGACATTACCTTGTTAAAGTAACTGTAATCCCTCTGCACAGTATCTTTACAAAAAATATATATATTTAAAACTTATTTTAAAAAAGAGTTGAAAAGGATTTTTTTTTTTAAAGAGAGAGAGAGATACTCAAAAAATGGGAGTGGCCAGGATTCTAGAAGTAGTTAAGTGGAATGTGATAGGACCTTCCCAACAGAAACCTCATCCAAGGCTTTGCAGCCTTCAGGGGGTCGGGAAAAACATCTTCCAGCTGGAAAGTTGTATTGGGTCTTGAAGGATGAATAGGAGTGCACCGGTGAAAAATGAGGAGCTGCTCAGCCAAAAGCAATGCATAAGGCAACAGCATGGCTGCTAGAAAACGCAGGTGCCTGGTGAGCAGGAGAGGCAAGTGGACCGGAGGACAGGGCATAAGTCACACAGAGCCACTTAAGCCAGGATCTTGACGTGTGGGCATTAGGGGGCCATGGATCCTGGTGTTCTCCCATCTACAAGTGTCCTGACTCCCTCTGTCTTTCTGTGGTGACCCTCAGGACAGCCCTGTGAGTTGCCCTGTCACTGCCCAGTCCTTGTGGCTAGGGCCCCTTCCCCGCCCTGTGGTCCCAGGGCACAGGACTTCTCTATGCAGGATCAGCCCTGCAGCCTGTTCCCTAAGGAGATCCCTGGCACTTTCAGTCTTGTCCACTCAGCAGGGCCACACCTTGGGCAGAAACTCAGGAACAAGCCCCAGGGAACTGCCTAGGGACAAACACAAGCTGTAACCCAAGGGCCGAAGCACAGGCTCGTTCAGGCGTCAGGCGGTCTTGTCTCTCAGACTTCTGCACCTAACACACTCGGATCCCAGGCTTGCTCACAGAGCAGTGGCCCTCCCACTGGGTGCATTCAATGACTAGGGCACCTGGGTCTCAGTTTCCCCATTTGCCAAGTCAGGAAGTGGAATTCCTTCAAGGTACACTAAGTGTTTGACTCCATCTGCAATCTGGAGGCACTCAGGCTGAGGGGGTTCACCTAAGATTCTAGCTAAGCAAAGGTTCCTGTAGGCTTATCTGGCAATGACCTCTCTTCAAAGTATCAGCTACCAAGGAAACAGGAAAAGCAACTGGAAAGTCTGTGCCCAAGGGCTGTGCAAGGCAGCGCATTGTAGTGGGTCCTGGGTGGGACCCTCTCCCCACCAAGGCAACCCCAGATCACCAAACAACCCCCCTGCCCATCAAACTGCAGAGTGCCTAGACCGCTAATGCAGAGGAGGCTACAAAAGATGGACAGGCCTGGGTGTGTGTGTGCCAGCCACCCAGAACGGGCTCCAGGGCTGCTGGAGCACTACTCAGGTGCTCAGCATGGAGCTTAGGCCTTCAAACCACCCAGACAGGGCCTGGCTCTGGGGTGCTGAGGCTCAGAACCTCCCTCTCGTTTCATCTGAGGAAGTTCCTCTTCTAGTGGTTCTATGTGTGGGAGATGTGAAGGCTAAAGGGGATCATCAACTTGGTTGAATCGACAAGCACCTAGCAGATCAGTGAATCAAGGCTCTGGAGGGGGGCTGGGAAGGTGGCTCAGTGGTAGAGCGCTTGCCTTGCATGCCTGAGGCCCTGGGTTCGATTCCTCAGCACCACATAAGCAAAAAGAAAAAAGCCGGAAGTGGCGCTGTGGCTCAAGTGGTAGAGCGCTAGCCTTGAGCTGAAGAGCTGAGGGACAGTGCCCAGGCCCAGAGTTCAGGCCCCAGGAGGGATCTGTGAGGGGTCTCCAGGTACTAGGGGGGAAAAATCCAACCCCCCTAAATGCAGGTAGTACCATCTCATGAGCCTAAGGGCTGAGAAAAAGAAAGCCCCCCTCCCTGTCTGTCTGTCTGTCTGTCTGTCTGTCTGTCTGTCTCTCTGCTTCCTGGCCACCTTAATGTGAGCTGTTCTATTCCGCTATCCCCTCCCCATCTGGATGTGCTGAAACCCCTAAACGTTTGAGCCAAAAGAAATGCTTCCTCCTGTATTCTGTTACT